TATATATATATATATATATATATATATATATATATATATATATATATATATATATATATATATATATATATATATATATATATATATATATATATATATATATATATATATATATATATATATATATATATATATATATATATTGTGTCAAGGAGATGAGAAATACAATATAAAATATATTGTTTCAACTTATTTTTAAATTTTTAAAATATTATTTGTTCCAAGTTTTGTGTTAAAAATAAATAAGGCAAGAACAATAGTATGTATATAATATATTCAAGTTGGTTTAGTATATAAAATAATACTAATAGGAAAAAAGATGCAATATTTCTTAGTTTTTAGGCAAAATATGGGATTTCCCGATCCCAATCCCGATTCCCGAAATATTTAGGGATATCGATATAACCGGGATTTAATAGTTTGGGATGGGATTGGAATTTGAAATTTCTATCCCGAATCCCGAAATCCCGATCCCGAAAATCCCGAATTCCCGAAATTCCGTCCCGAACTCACCCCTACAATTTATAGCTTACTATTAATATTTCATAATTAGCTTTCACTATTTTGTAGTTGACCGACACAATTTTATAGCAAACTAGTAGAATATTATAGTTTACTAAGGTCAGTAGTTAAATTCATTAATTTAGTTGTATATTTCGTAGATCTTTTCCAAAAAAAAGTTAAAAGTAAAAAAAAAGATGGAAATATAATTAAAAGGATTAAAATAATTAAAGAAGAGAGAGAGAGAGAGAGAACAAATTGGTTGACCGATCCTATTTAAAAGGAGGGGGTCTAGTTCAAAAGAAAAATATAGGGATAGTATTAGGATACGTAAAGTGGAGGGAGTTGCACCATATTAAAAAAATGCTTGGTACCTAATTCTAATATTTTTGCTATTGAGGGGGTTACGCCTCATTAACCCTATAATTAATGTCTCCATAATTAAAAATTATAGATACCGATCAATTAAATAAATCAATACAAACTATATTTCATCAATCATTTATCCCTCGTGCATAAAACAGTTTACAATACATAATTAAAATTCCAAAACTAAATTAAAACCCAAATACAAATATTATTTTTCAAGAAAAATATAAATTAATTAGCTAGGTTGCTACTCTCTTGGGGAGAGAGAAAGAAGAAAATACTGACGAAACGGCAGAGAATATGAATCCAATGAAGAGAACACCAGCTGCCGCATTTCCTTTGTTCAGAAAATTATGCTCAGCATCACTCGCAATATCTAACCTTTTCAAATCTACCGCTAGCCCGAAACCTGCAGCTGCTCCAGTTGCCAATATGTACGATAGTGCCTACCCGATGCAACAAATATATTTAATTTTCTATTTTTTCTCGTAAATTTTGACATTAAATTAATTCTTTAACTAATTGCATAAGGTTTTTGAGAAAAATTACATAAAAATAAAATAAATTTTTAATGTATATACCTTGTCACCGAAGAAGTCAACGAGAGCGAATCCATCGCCTCCAAGGCGATTTCCGGTGGTCGCGTAAAATATTGCGAATGCAGTTTGAAGGAGCGTATATGCCAATCCGATCACGGCACTCGCCAACATGTATCTGCACCAAGTCAAATTCAGTGTGTTGTATAATTAGTCCTGAAATTTACTATAAAGTAAGTTTGAACAAAAGTTACTATATAATTTATAATTTATTGCCAAAGGAAATAAAAATATAAACAACTCGATGGTAAAGAAAAAAACAACCTACGCTACTACGATTCATTATTAACATGTTTGGTAGGCAAGATGCAAACTTGCTCATGTCAATAATAAAAATTGAAGCTCAAAATTAACTAATGATATTAGTAGTTCTCCTGCCTTATGCTATTAATTTTGTAGGTAGCGATTAATAACTTTTATTATAAAACGTGACAAATTAGGATTTAATACTTTTAAATTAGAGATGTTAGTGATAAATCGCATCGAATTCTATAGTACTTCAATGTTTTAAATACTAGATCCAATAATGTATACAAAGAACAATGTATTTTTTACTAACTAAATTTTAATTAATTGATCAGTAGGAAAATAATTCGATATATTAAGTGGAGCGAGGGATCCTCTAGGTCAGCCTGCGGCAAGAAGCTGCCTCGTGTCTGTACATAACTCTGGTCCTGTTTTCCCTTTTTTT